AGTAGTAGCAGTAGTAGTAGTAGTTACAAATGACCTCTGCAACAGAAATGACCATCGCACGATGTTTAAGAATCACGCAGGGCCGGGTGCGGTCAACCACATTGAGCACATGAGCAGAGTGAATTCAGCTGAACTGCTTTATACAGGAAATAGGAACACTTGTGTAGCAAGGCAGAATGTTGGTGATGACGATGACGATGGTGATTATGATGCTGATGGCGACGACGACGCCGCCGCTGGTGCTGGTGGCGGTGGCGAGTTTGAAATCATCACCGTCATCGTCGTCAGCTTCGTCCGACTGTCCTTCAGCTCAGCGGGCAGATCGTGCAAGTAGATCCGCTCGGCCTCACCTCATTCTCACATTTTGCAGCACACAGGACATCTCAGGTTTAAGAGTGTAGGGGCCATGCAGGGGCCTTGGTGTGCAAGTTCAACACACAGGATACAGGGATCTGCAAGTAAAGCTTCCAACACGAGCTTCTGAGGATTGGCACATAAAAGCTTCTGATAATAATCATAACAATGCTAATAATGATAACTGTTATTTTTATTACACTAACGATAGTAAGGGTAATAGCAACAATAGTAGTAGCAATAATAGCGATAACAGAAGAATGAAAATCCGTAGTAACACGAAAAGAAGCAACAATAGCAATAGTATAAGCGTCGTGACAAAACTAACCCGCCGTCTACTGTGAAGGACTTCGAAAAAACTCATTAAAGCCATGAGCCAAAGGCTCTAACCCAAACCCCCCTAAACCCCAAAGGAAGGGCTCGATGATAAACCCCTAAGCAGAGGGAACCTCCGAAACCTATCCCCAGTTGCTGAGTTCCTAAGCCGTGGAGGGTCTAAACTTTCAGTTGCACCAGGGATAAGGGTTTAGGGTTTAGGGTTTAGGGTTTAGGGTTTAGGGTTTAGGGTTTAGGGTTAGGACATTGTGAAGTGCGCCCATTCAGCTACTGAGTATCATATGAATCTGACAGATCGGGCACGGCATTTGGGGGGGGGGTCTATCCCGAAAGCTGGCGAGGGCGAGCAGGGCAGCGTTTTGCGAACCTCAAACCCTGAACTCCAAACCCCATGACCCAACACCTAAAATCCTGAAATCTTTAAGAACATCTTGAAGGTAATATAGAGGCCTCAATACTTAGAACAGGTTGTGGTATGTATTATACGATTAAGGCCCCTACATAAATGGCCTCAAAGAGACGGAACAGCGATACAAGCCCCTACATCGTACGACCCTTCATGTGGAACCTCGTTCTAACAAAGGATTTCCAGAAACCCCCCCAAAACCTATAATAAGACCCATATAGACCCTTGCTGTACTGCATGAAGCAATAAGGTCTAAACCCCTGGGGAAAAGTGTCTGGAAAACTGCAAACACCTGCTTCGGCGTGAGCAACCTAAGTCCCTGATTCATGCAATGCTGTCAGTTGAAATCACAGTTTGGTCCCTTTTCAAAACCCTAACGCGAAACCCTAAACCCTAAACCCTATACCCTATACCCTATACTCTAAACCACAACCGTTTCAAAACCGGACGGCTGTGAGAAGAGGGCCTGGCACACCCTAAACCCGTAAACCCTAAGACACGGGCATCAGCCTGAGACTTTCCTGACGTGCATTCGACTCCGGGCTTGCAGCTCCCAGGCACGATTTAGGGTTTAGGGATTAGGGTATAGGGTTTAGGGTTTAGACCACCACCAGTTCCCACGCCCACAGTTTGGTGAAACGGAAAAGCCCTGCAAAATCCCAATCACACACGATCCAACCTTACAAAAAAGATCAAGGAAACCCCACCACAAAGCCCGGCAAAGGCAAGGGCCATGAAGATGCTTCCGCCGCGCCGATCCACCGTCCCGGGGCCAGCAGCCCTCAACCAGCTCTGGCAGGGCGGCAGAAATCTTAGGCTTGAGGGCTTTGGGGTTTAAGGGTTTAGGGTTTAGGGTTTATGGTTTTAGGGTGTAGGGTTGAGGATGGTCGGTTTGAGGGCTCCCCTAAGCCCTAAACCCCAAATCCTGAACCGTGGGTTTCGGGTCTCCGATTTGGGGTTCAAGAGTGCCACCAAAAGGCTCTTCTAAAGGTACTGAAACAAGTGTTTTACTAGGGCTCGATGACGGTTCTGAAGGGGTCCCAGAAGGGCTCTACTCATAAAAGGTATGAGAGGGGTGTGGTGACGGTTCTGTAAAGGCTCGATAAGGGTTTGCCGGAAGCTCTTCAGGGGCCTTGGTGATTTTTGAAGGGTTTCAACAAGTTTAGGTGCTTGTGATACTTGTCCTAGAAGGGTCTTTGTAACACTTGTGTTAGGTTCCTGTTTATGACATGCCAGAATGCAGGTGAGGGATGTAGAATGTATAGAACTTCTGCAAGGATTCAGGACCTTTGCAAACGTTCGAGCTACAGTTTCCAGGGCAGGCCAAAGATGACATGAAGTACATGGTGGGCACTAAGCCGGAAGATGATGGGCAAAATAAAATGAAAATGTAGAATAGTGTCTGCAATAGAAACCTTCATGCGTTCTAGATATGTATATATATATATAGAGAGAGAGAGACATGTATTGTTACATCCTCTATACTATACACTACATACTTGATATGCGATGTACGATATACGATAAAACACAATAGAATCCAATTTAATGGCTGTCATAACATATAGTACAACATAACTTCATATAACTCAATACGAGTATATAATACAGTATAATACATTGCAATACAAGACGACAGTAATACAAAAAATAAAATATAGTACAACATAATGTAATAGAGTAGAATGGAATAGAATAGACTGTCACAGACAAGAACAGCATAGAATAAAGCTAAACTAGAGAATATCAATCGGAAGTTAACACAGAAATAATAAACAGGCTCTTCAAGCCCAAGTTGCACCTCCGGAAATTCCGACCACTCAACAGCCTGAAACTGTAACCAGCCCCTCAAGTATGCTAGGTCGCGAGTACTAAACTATAATCGCCTCGGGATGTAGAACCGGATATCGAGCGTCCCGAAAACGTCAGTTCACGAGGTAGCCAGCAACGCGACACCTAACATGATCTCATACATCCGTTCCATCCATCCATCCGTCTACGAACCCTGGGCCGACCTGCTTTTCCTCACATCTTAGCGGACAAAACACTTCACAAAACCTTCGATAACATTTGCTTGGGGTTTTTACAATTTCGGGGTTTAGGGTGTCTAGCGACAGAATGCAAGTAGAAACACAATTGCTAAGGAACTCCCCAACTACCTGAAAGAACTCCTGTGACTTCCTGGGGGAAATCCCGAACAGAAACCCTGTGGGCTGAGAGTCCTCAGCGGGGAGAAGGGTTTAGGGTTTCGGGTGTAGTGTTTAGGGCATAGGCAGTGGGGCTTAGGGCTTAGGGTTTAGGGCTTAGGGCTTAGGGTTTAGGGCTTAGGGCTAGGGTTTAGAGTGGCCAACAAGAAACTTTTGGCATGGTCTAGCTCAAGGCTTCAAGCACTGACGCATATACCGGGCCAGATGCTTTGAGGTTCCTGGGCGTTTAGGGTTTAGGGTTTAGGGTTTAGGCCGCCGAGGGCCTTCTTCGAAGCAAGTAGGGCTGTTCCGCAAGCCAACCCTGAACCCTTAAACCTGATACATGATACTTTTCTGTACTATACATACACTGTACTATACTATCCTATACTGTACTGTACTAAACTATACTATCTTAAAAAGAATATGTGAAGACTCCGGAGTGATTTTGAAGGAGCTCCGAACCTCCTTCCATAGTCTTCGTCTTGAACTCGCAGTTCCTTCGTACGGCCATGTGGGCTTAGGGCTGAATGCAAAAATCTAACATGATATGCTATAACATAATACAAGATTGTATAGTATAATGTAATGCAATACAGTAAAGTTTAATGTAATGAAACATTTTGTAATAAAACACAATGGGATATACCGTAACGTAACACAACATGACATGATACAATGATATGACATGACATAACATACCATGACATAACATAACATAATATAGTCTAGTGAGTGCTTCAAGGCTTTGCTAGGCCAGAAGTTCGATGTTTCTACTTAAGAGACATCGAACGGCTTACAAGTAGCAGAGCTTATCTGGAGCACCCTTGCAGTTTTCAGCTTGACTTTGACGAAGAATGCAAGTGCGGCAACGAAGCTGCCCAGATCAATGCAGAATAAACCGAGACGGACCCGCAGATCTGAATGCAACGATGTCTTCGGCTTCTGATTTAGGGGTTCAGGGTTTAGGCTTGCAGATGGACTATTGATGGCGAGTCGTCACGTCTGCTGGCGACTATGTGATGTTAACGGATGTGACTGAGTCAGCCTCCAGCTTATCTACGTTGGGTGTTCAGGTCGCACGACACGGGCAAACATGCTGATATAGCCGTTCATAGTTGAAGCCACATGAAGCTTGCTACAGCTACTCGTACCGTTAAAGATGTCGTTGCCATTTCTGCATTCGTGTTACCACACCATGAGCTTCTACTGCCATGTTTGCTAGTAAGTCTAGGCTAAAGCATGCGGTCTCTACTTAGATTGATTATACTATTTCTGAGCTGCCTGCTCCGAAACCTTTTGACTGCGGTATGATTATGTCATACCTTGCACCAAGACACAAAGCCGTAAAATCGAAACCCAACACCCCCTAAACCTGAGATAGTGGGTAGAATTGGAGAGTTGGCCATCGCGGCAAGCTGCTGGCATTCTTCGCAGTGTTTGCGGTCGAAGCCTTGGGCAGATGTGGCAACTTCAGAAACTTTGGGTCTTGTTGTATGTAGGCGTTTAGGTCTTGAGGCTTGGGTATTTCGGGCTTGGCGTTTAAAGTTTAAGGCTTGAGGGTTCGACCCAACGTCCCAACGGAAAGCAGAAGGGGGCGTCCAGTGTGCGTTGGTGCGCATGGTTTTCAAAAAAACAATCAGTGCGCACTGCGTTCATCTCAAGCATTCGACGTGGCCACTATTCGCACGGTTTACAGCTTCAGGGCCGTTTTCTCTCAGCGTCAAGGCCTTTTTCCTGTTTGGAGGCTGGCAAGTGTCGCAGGGGTCGCAAGGTTCCTTGGCCTGAGGCATATGGGTAGTTCTCAAAATTAGGGTCCCTTTAGGGTCCTCTTTTTCAGGGTGCCGTAGTATATTGGGGACCNNCCCTAATTTAGAGACCTACCCATATCCTTTGCGCATTTTGATCGCACCGGAGCCAATCACGATGATAGCAGTTACAATAACAGTAGCAGTAGCAACAAACCTCACAATCATGAATGAGCCCTAGGCCCTACACCCCAAACCCTCCACCACCGCAAACCCCAAACCCCAAACCC